TGCCTCCACCAGTGTGTGAATGTGAGAGTGAATGATAGTGGCATTGTAAAGCGCTTTGGGTGCCTTGAAAAGCGCTATATAAATGCAATCCATTATTATTATTATTAATTCCTCAGGGTCCAGTCGGCAGATTTGCTGGCTGCACATCCATGATGCTGATCTCCTGTTCCCACAAAGGGGCTCTGTTGTATTGGACCATGGAGATCATTTCAGTTCACTGATTATCACATAGAAGAAAGCAGCTTGAAGGTGAGTTTTGTGACATCAGAGGCCATAAAGGGATGTATGCGGTCAGCAACAACACAGGCTGGCTGTGGTGTTTAAACCATGCTAACTGAATTATAAGCTTGCTGGCTTAACATTACAAAAAGCCTGTTTTTTTTTTTGGTTTTTTTAAATCGAATCAATTCAAATGAAGACTGACACCAAATACTCTGCAGGAGGAAATTATTCACCAGTGTTAATCATTTTATTTCATTAACATTTACACAAGCCCAATCTTTTTAAACCCCTCACCCCAACGTCGATTCCAGGTCTTCATTTTATCAACACCCAATTCATGATATACTTACAGGAGACACTTAATGTTAAACATGTTTTACAGTACGACTAAATTCCGAGGAGTTGCTGGACCCTGTCTGCGATTCACAAATACAAACGTATTCCTCAAAAGCTTTTTCACATCTCCTCGGCACGGAGATTCCAGTGCTTTTAAACGACACATTTAAAGGTCATTTACTTTTAAAATACTCTCCCTCTGATTAATCTCATGAGCAAGATTGGGAGGTGAGGGTAAAATTTTTGATGTCATCTTAAAAAAAGTACATGGTTAAAAAAAAAGAAATGAAAAAAAAGAGCATAACAGAACAGAGTTATATGTGCTCACATGTCTGTCTGCTTTACAGGTTAAAGTCTAATTCAGACTCCCATCATACCACCACCCGAGTACCCAACCGTCACACACATATTAACGGTTTTATAACCGAAGGAATGTAAATATTATATAGTATGAAAAATCCCGCTCCCCACACGTTATAATTTCCCCCTTTCCACACAGAGTATGAAATTATTCTTTTATAAACGCTTCTCTTGCTTTAGCACTCATTTCATTCAGACTGGTATTTAAAGCATGAGTCACACAGATGCGGGGAAGACAAAGCAGGCTTGATAACAGGAGGAGCAGATGTGAGGCACTTCATATCAGAGTATGGTTGAGAGACCTTCGTCATGGAGGTTTAACGAGCAGCACCTTTAAAGCGGCCTCTGGTGCGTTGATTTACACCAGATCCGTTACCTTACTAGTCACGGTGAGTCACCATGTGGTAATCTCAATTTATCAGTCTTTTCTCTCAAAGCTGACAGTGGAGTTGATCTTTGCACGTTCATGTCCGACTTTAGATCTCACGGAGACAGTGGTAATGAACACCCGCGTGTCTTTAATCGCATGAATCACAGATGAGGAAGATGCAACCGGTCCGTACAGTTAAACAATGACTTCATGATTCATGATGATTGGCAGCACCCATTATTCAGAGCTGTAACTTTGCATGTGTGTGAATAAAAACAGAGGAAAATGGCTTCATCCCGCTCTCTCTCGCTCTAGTTTGGGTGCTAGGTGCTTGTCTTCTTTGCACTGACAAGGTAGCCCTTAGACTTGATGATGCCCCTGCTCTTGACAATAACGTTGTAGCGCAGGACCCACTCCAGCCTCCAGTCACCGATGTTTAGGTCCTGCGCTCCCGCCCGCACCGCCTCCTGAAACGTGTCTGCAGATATCAGCTCTGGAAAAAAAGAAATCAGTGCAAAGAAGGAGCAGTTTAAAACTCAATAAATAAATAACAGTCACAGTTTACTGTAAACTACAGCATGCAGCTTATACTACACAAAGTGGGAAGTTACAAGCATCCCACTAAAGCCACTGAGCAGCCCAAGGACAAAGGACATGGAGAGAAGACAGCAAAGCAGGGGGAAGACATGCAATAAATGGCCTGAGACTGGGTTAAAAAGCCAGGCCTCTGATTCCCGGGTCACCTTATCAACCCTGCAGGTATACCTGCATCCCTGGTATGCGTTTTTAATCTTACAGGAATGATTTAGCTGCTCAGAAAATTTTCAGTGTTCTATTTTGTTTGAATATTTGAATTAGGACAAAACTTGAACTGGAATAAATGCTGCATTTATAGAAACATCAGCTGCATTCCAGTTTTACTTAGTGATTTAACAACAACTATATGTCCAGCCGTCAACATCTTTACCTTTGGGATCATTGTGCGTCAGCAGCTGGATATCAAACTCCTTAGCAAACGCCGTCAGGTCCGGAGGCATCACGCAGCAGGAGGCCAGGTTGACCTGGTTACTGCTGGGCTTTATCTGCTCCAAGAAAAGGAAGATGATGAGTGAATCGTAGCAGATAACAGATCGTTGTTCTCATGTGCTATCCTAATCAGACGTCAGCATCACTTTTGACTGGCGATGACAGATTAAAGCTCGCATGTACAAAGCTTCCCACTGACCTGAGCCCACTTATAGAGCTGTTCCAGCAGATCTTTGTCCAGGTCAGAGGTGCCAATAGCGGCGATCTGCTTGCTTCTAACCAGAGCCTCCAGCTCCTCCCAGGCTGGCTGAAGGTGGGCCAAACTTTGGCTGTCGCCGTCTGAGGGCCCGGGCGGAGCAATGATAACAGAGTCAAGCTGGGACACTGCCAGCGTCTGACAGGCTAAGGATAACAGACAAATAAGGCTGTAGGTTTTAAGTGTTCAATTTAAGAAGCTTTTTGTTTTTTACTTTTGTTGAAGAAATTTAAAGCTCACCCATCTCCACTGCGTCTTTGATGGAAGACTGACCAGACTCATGCAGGAACAGCTTGACTGTGAAAACAACAAAGCATGATGAGCACTACCAACTCTATTCTGCAGTCAGCCAGATATTAGGTGGAGATGCTCTGAATTAATCCATTAGTTATCTGAATCAGGAATTTAATTTGGATATTATCTGATTGACAGGAGGACGTGCTGATTTAAAAAAAAAAAAAAAAAAAGGTGTGGTGACATCACAGTTCATGTCGACTAAAACGTCAACCATGCCCCTTGGCTTAAATCGCCAAGCTGGGTGATGAGGTACCTGCAGGTTAGAGGTGGGAATCACCATACATCCCA